TAATTCAAACATGAAGCATGATGTGTACTGTTGTCCATGCCACAATAACTTCAAAAAATTAAAATTGTGATTAGAAATGCTTTGAACTCTACCAGGTCCTTAAAGACCATCCGTGCCCTGCATGCTATGCGTTTCATTCCAGACCAAACAAAAAGGAAGGGAAACTGGTGTAGCTTGTAACTGAAGTATTCTCCAAAAAGGATATAGGTGGCAACTAATGCGGCGCATCAGAGCAGAGCGTCGCTACTAAGCTAAGTTGTTTTTTGGCTTAGCTTTTAGTTCGACCAGACTAACTAGCCGTATTTTTTAATTCTTTCATTTTTATTTTCTGTTTTAAGTTTTGAGTTTTATTCAACAGAGCTCCTGCACTGACTGGCCTAATATACAGACTCTTTATTTCTTGGCCTATTTTCAAACTACTGAGACACTTTTCACCATGCCTCCATTTAGCTCTCATGTGGGGTGCAATGGCTGTGTATGGCTAAGCCAAAAGATTTTAGAACTTGAAAGAAGAATTTCTGTACTTTATCAAATAAAGGATGACAAGGATCTTCTTGACTCTTTGCTGGCATCCACACAGGCAAAGACCACCGGGTTGGTTGGCAGTATTCCCCAAGCGGCTGCTGCGGCAGACCAAGCCGAGAATCCCTGACTTCTGCCCAGGGCTAAACACAAAGCTAGGGAGGCATACTGCTCCATGCCGTGCCTTAGCTGAGCTGTGGTCCACTGCCGGCGGGAGTATGTGTGGTGGTAGGTGCTCCAGTATCACAAAAGCTTCAGCTGAGTAATAGGTTCTTCATGCTGGAAGAGCCGGAAGACACCACTCCGTCCTCTCCTATCCACCTGAGGGACAAGTAGCCATTAGCAATGTGCACATGGGTGAGCTCTCTGGCCATTCACTTTACCCTGGCTCTGTCCTGGAACTCCACTGGGCAGCGGACCCGCCACCCCCTTTCAGAAATTGGTTTACCATGGTTTTAACATAGCATAGTATCCATGTTCTTTTGGCAGAAAGAAAACTATGGCATGGTTATTATGGTATGTCTGCCATGGTTTTACCGTAGTATGGTATCATGTTTTTTGTCATAAAATAAACTATGGCGTGGTTACTATGGTATTTTTATCATGGTTGTTAAGGAAAGGACTTTCTGGTTGAAAGAGTGAGGAATGCCACAGTGTGTCTGATTAAAACACAACGCGAGGATGTAAATATCCACATAGTTCATAACTGGCTTGAACAGGATGCAGATGGTTGATAACAAATAGGCAAATTGGATGAGCATGGGTGAATAAATAAGAAATGCATAGTGGATGGATAAAGAAAGGCTAGTTTACAATCTATGAAACAAAAAACCACACAGGAAACATATCCATCCTAGTATCTAACAAACAACATCTAGCATAACATCAAGAACAAACAGTATCCAAAGAAATTTGAGGAAACACATAATGCATCCATTATTAGGATTCTAAACGTGTCATGCTGCAGAAACAGATCGTTTTCAAACACATGGTAGGAGAGAAGGAAAATGACTTCCTGTTCCCTTACAAGATTTGGTCCCTGTCTACTTCCTGTCCCACAGGACTTTAGGTAATGGAGATCTCATGGCTTTACCATAGTATGGTATCCATGTGTTTTTGTCAGAAAGAAATTATGGTGTGGTTACTATGGGATCTCTGCTATGGTTTTACAGTCATGGGCTGGAGGTTAGGGAACCAGCCCTGTGACCAGAAGTTCGCTGGTTCGATCCCCTGCGCTGGCAGTAAGTGACTGAAGTGCCCTTGAACAAGGCACCTAAACCTAAACCTAAAGTGTGCTCACTGCCCCTAGTGTGTGTGCATTCACTAGTGTGTATGTGGTGTTTCACTGCATGGGTGGGTTAAATGCAGAGGTGAAACTTCCCCATTGTGGAACTAATAAGGGTCACTTAATCTTAACAGTAATTCTGCTGGAAAGAAAACTATGGTGTGATGTGTCGTGAGCCTGTCCCCCAGACCCCGATGACCGGCGTGAGAGCTGGCAGGAAGGTGTGGCCCGAACCCCTGTGCTGATGAAACCTTGTGAGGTTGGCGTTGAGAGAAAGAGAACTGCGAGGGAATGGTGGACGGCAGGCAAGTCCCAAGCCCCGCCTCCTTTGAAGTTTGATAACTGATAAGTAGCCAACTTTGGTTTGGTGGATTTTATTTGCTTTTGGTATAAAAATAAAAGTTAAAATGGCTGCTGCAGACCTTTCTCTTGCCTCCAGCATCCTTTATGTGCCCAGGGTAGCACATGGCATGCTACATTTAGTTACTATCGTATCTCTATAGAGATGGATAAAAAAGCATAGTATCCATTGTTTTTGGTGGAATGGCATGGTTACTATGGTATCTCTACTACTATTGCAGAAACACTGCTGCCGTCTGTGGGCATCCACCATAGGACCGTGCTGCTGAGCACCCTTACTGGTCCTTAACAGGCAGCGTGAGGGCCCCCCCCATCCCCACCTATGAACAACACCATGCAGCCCCCACGACTGGACTCTGCCTGGTAGCAGGAGCGCCACTCCCCACCTCTGGGCACCACCACAGAATGCCAAGCGGACTTCTCAACCTTCCGCTTCACAGGATCCTCTCAGACAAACCACCTGTTACCCCCCACTAACAACTTTGACAGTAGGTGACTCTATTATCTGAAACATTAAACATCACACAGCTGTTGTTCATGTTCATCCTTTCTGGTGCAAAAGTCTCAGATATTACACTGCAATTTTCCAATTTTTTAAAGAGATACCGTTCTGCACAGACGCTAATCATACATGCTGGATGCAATGATATCAGATATCACAGAACTGTTAAAAAGAGACTTCGCATCCTTGCTATCTTTTATAAAAGACTATGGGAAAGCTGTTTTTTATCTCTGGCCCAATCCCAAGATATTTTAAACCTTCATAATTGGCTTTAAGCTTTGAATGTTCATGTTTAAGCTAGAGCTTAGCATAAATGCCATAAACATGAATGTACACCATCACTAGTTTGCTGCTAACATAACACTGAAAATTTTACCAGCAAGCTGCCAGAAATTGTCATTATTGTAATAGTGGCTATTTAAAATGTAAATTTTGAGGTTTTGTGCTAAATATCACTAACGTTTCTGCATAAATTGAACATACAATTTCCAATTCAATCATAGGTATTGTATATAGTTTATTTCAGTTCTGCTGTGCTGATAGGAGGTGCTGCTACCCACAGGTACAGAAGAGAAGAGCTGCCCCATTCATATTTTAACCAGTGAACCTGCCTTCTGATAATAGGTACTTTAAGCATGGATTACTGAAGGGAAGGGCTCTGCAACAGGAAACAAAGAAGTCACTAGGCAACAATTCTACCTCAATGGCAGAATGGTGTGTTTCACTGTCTTTGCTCACCTGATAACATGTCTTAATAAAAATGGAAAGATCTACAAAAGTAACCAGTATCTTTGAAAAATGTATGCTGAATTCACTAAAGGAGTAATGTTGTTATTTAGTGTTATCAAGTGTTAATAAAATTCTAATTCAACACAAAAGAAAATGTGAATGTATCATGTTAACAGGTTCAGTATTAACATGGCATTACAAAAAAAATACACAAAAGTTAACACAAAATTATGTGTACATGTTAATGTCGGTATTTCTACATTAACACAAAATTAGGTGTGGTATTCCCACATTAAAACATGGGTATACCCCCATTAACACAAAATTACGTGTACGTGTTAATGTGGGTATTCCCACGTGTATTGACTCCCAAAACCTGCCATATACTGAAAGGATGTGTAGCTGTCAAGAAGCTGTTACTGAGAAAGGGAAAAAAGATAAAAAAAGAAGAAACATTGCACTAGAAATGGAGATTTTTGAAAGTAACAGAATTGCAGTATATTGCTGAAACAATGAAAGACTGTTCAAACCATATCCAAACAGGCAATACCATTTGTAAAAGATTTGCACACTGCTAAGAAGGTGAGGACATACCAAACAATAAAGTTGATATTGCTCTCAGAACATTAAACTAGCCACCACAGAGCCCAGACCTCAGCATCATTGAATGTGTTTAGGATTTCTTCAATTGTGAAAAGCACAAAATGCAAGACTAAACTTTGAGTTGTAGAAAAATATCCCTGTAGGTTTCTTTGAAAAACTGAAAGTAAGTCTCATACAAAGGTTGGAAGCTGTAATAAAGGCAAAGAGTGGGCACAATAAATACTGGAACATTGGATATTATATTTTGTAGTTCTGCTTCTGTTTAATTTTCTGCTAAACATATCATTTCTTTTTGAATAACATACTTAATGGCTGTTTTGACTGGAAATAAATAAATAAAGGATGGTCTCTGACTTTTACATGATAGCTTAAGCTAAATGATAATGATTCATGATAATGAAGCTTAATCATTTGCCAATTTTATCAGTTATTTGCTAGTGAATAAATTAAGATTTTATTACAAAATATGATGATTTAATAAGTACAATAAACACTGATAAATCAAAAAGTCTTTAGGTTTTTATTGCAATTATTATGCTACATGTTATGTAGCATAATACTTAGAACTACTTAATAATATCTAAAATAATGTTGGTTATCAATATTACTATATTATTTATGATTAATAGACACATTGCTTACACATTACCATTAAATAATGATGAATACTGTCTGTATTGTTAATTAATGTATCCTTACTGGTAAATGTGACTAACTTAAGTAATGAGAGATATTTCCAGCTGGACCGGTCTTAGTTCCAGCCTAAGTGGTTTTGATGTTTTTTGTAATTAACATTCAATAAATGTTTGTTCTACAGTTCCTGTGTGTTTTGTGGTCAGTGAGCTGCTGTTAAAGAATGTTAAAACTAATAATGTTAAAAGTGGAAATCTAAAAATGTGATGAATCACGTTTTGAATTTGAGTTTTATTTTAGAAAAGTGTTAGATTTGAATAAGTTTTCTCTATAATGATTTGCATTTTATAATACGTTTCTCTTCAGAACTACAGGCTTAATGTGTTTCTGCGTCAAGAGTGGAATGACCCTCGACTGGCCTACTGTGAGTATCCAGACACATCTCTGGATCTGGACCCCTCTATGCTGGACTCTATATGGAAACCTGATCTCTTCTTTGCCAACGAGAAGGGTACAAATTTCCACAAAGTCACTACCGATAACAAGCTACTACGGATCTTCCAGAATGGAAATGTACTGTATAGCATCAGGTAACAGGGGATAAGATTTAGCTGGGAAGAAATATGTTATCATTGTAGGAACCAATTTTGGATATTATTTGTGTTTTTAAAATGCTGCCAAGGCAACACAAAAGTCTAATTTAGTATGGCTCTAAATCAACCAAATCAGATAGAAAAGTTTGGTGACCCTTCCCCGAGGAAAGAAATAAATTAGATCTCCTCTTTATCTCATTTATGTCTCCTAGACTCTCCTACCAACCGTCAAAATTCAGAAATCATTCATCCTTTATTATTACAATACTGAGACCTGCTTTACTTCTCCTGAGACAAAGACATGTTGATCTTAAGAGACATGCTTCCTTTGGGTTTCTATGAATACCATTCAAAATTATAATTTTATAAGGCATTACAAGGTTGGCTAGAAATATGTATAAATGTACATTACACTATATAGCTAGTTTATTATGCATTATGTATTACAGTCAGTTTGTACGCTTATGTCACATGATTTGGACTTATCAAACTTTTATGTCACACATGGAGATTAATTTGACTATAACCTACAGAAGAGGTGCTATTTGGTTTGAATGAAGTTTAGTTAGCTACAGTGGTGGAACAAGTACACAAATACAGTACTTGAATGGAAGTAGAGATGCTTCTTCTAAAATATTACTCCAATAAAATTAAAAGTCCTTTATATTTCTGTGTTTATATTAAAATATTTATATTTATCTTTATATTTCTACTTGACACAAAGTATGAAAGTAATTACTTTAAAATGTACTTGAATCAAAGTACAAAATTGAAAGTACTATAAGATATTCTGGCTAAAACAGCTATTATATTATTTTAATAATAAAAAAAATCTATTAAGACGTGTAGCTGCATATGAAAAACAGAGTTTAAAAATAGGCAAATGTTCCTGTTTACTAGCAAAAAGGCATTAATCATAAACAATATTTCAACACAACTCTTTAAAACATGTTGCACGCACTTCTACAGCTCTCCTTTTTTTTCTCTCAATGTCAACACATAATAACATTTCAACATTTGTGATTTGATAACCTACTCCAAAGCCATGGTCAACACTGAATGAGACAGCACAATTTAAAGTCATATTCTTTTTGAAAGTGAACTTTCAAGAGCAAAATAGTGAAAAGATATGAGCTACAGCTATCCCGTCAAGCCTACCTGGAGGATTTTAAAACTGAAATTGCTACCCTCAGAACTTGCATAGGGACGTAGAAGCTCTTTGGACGGAGGCACTATCCAATGCTCAAAAACTATGCCATGATTTGGGGAAGGAACTCAGAAAGCTTTGCCAGGACCACAAAGAGGTAACTGTGGAGCAGGAAACCATGGCACAGAGCTCCAACATCATGGTTGAGTGGATTGCTCAACTGGACCACCAGAATGAATCACAGTCACTCAAACTGAAACTACAGATTTTCTGAAATCTGCTTGGGAGGAGGAATCGGGCATTACCAAAGTGGGCTATACCTAATGTACGATATCAATAATCACCATCCAAAGCTGCTTTGTTTCTTGGTTGATGTCTATACTGTATATTGTGTTTGTACTGTATGTGTTTCAGTGTTATGTCTGTTTTGAGTGCAGTACTATACACTTTTTAATATACTATAAAATCTGTATAATGGGCTCGTTGTTCAACTGTTAACTAAAATACCAAAAACATGTTACATGCAAGCTTTTAATTTTTATAGATAGATAAACAGATAAAACAAATCAGCCAGCAGATCCGTTGCTAAGCTGAGCTGAGTGGCTGATTCTAGTACTCTGTGCCAATGATGGATCTGGACTGGATCAGCACATTACTAGTAAGAGCATGAAACTGTTTAACATACAGTCTCTAAATTTGTATACACAGTTCTTAATCTTACTGAATTTATATCCATCATTTAGGTTGGCTTAATAGCTTATGAGTGATGGCACCTTGTGACAATGTGTACAAAGAAAATAGGAGTGGTCCTAGAGCAGATCTGTTTGGGACACCATATTTTTGTAAATTCAGAAAATTTTTCACGTGTATTAACTGGTAGCAATCAGGATCTGAACCAAGAGAGTGCCAGTCCCAGTGAGATTTTCTAGCTCATCTAGTGCACTGTTATGGTCTAGTGTGCTAAATACTGCATTGAAAACAAGTGGCATGAACAAAGAGATGTAGCACTGGTTGTCTAGCAATAGATGCTTTCTACAAGATTTTGGAGTGTGTCTGTGGGAATTGTTGCCCATTCATCGAGAAGAGCATTTCTGAGGTCAGATTCTGATGTTGGACGACAGGGCCTGGCTCACAGTTTCCGTTCTATTTCATCTCAAAGGTGTTAGATGGGGAAAGAGGTCAGGGCTCTTTGCGGGCCAGTCATGTTCCTCCACACCAAACTCACCCAACCATGCCTTTATGGAGCTTGCTTTGTGCACTGGGGCACAGTCATGCTGGAACAGAAAAGGGCCTTCCCCAGGCTGTTCCCACAAAATTGGAAGCTGTTGGATAGAAGTTGGATAGAATTGTCAAAAATATCTTGGTATGCTGAAGCATGAATTTCTAGGCCAACCCCTGAAAAACAACCCCACAGCATCCTCCACATCCTCCTCCACCAAACTTTACACTCAGCACAATGCAGTCAGGCAGGTAATGTTCTCCTGGCATTCACCAAACCCAGACTCGTCCATCAGACTGCCAGATAGAGAAGCGTGACTCCACTCCCCTCCGACGCTTGCCATTGTGCATTTTGATCTTAGGCTTGTGTGTAACTGCTTAGCCATGGAAACCCATTTCATAAAGCTCCTGAAGCATGGTTATTTTTTTTCTGATGTTGCTTCCAGAGGCAATTTGGAACTCTTTAGTGAGTGATTCAACAGAGGATAGGCACTGTGCACTTCAGCTCTTGCTGGCAACACTCTGAGTTTGTGTGGTTTACCGTGTTGTGGCTAAGCTATTGTTGCTCCTAGGCGCATCCACTTCACAACAATAGCACTTACAGTTAACAGGGGCAGATATAGCAGGACAGAAATTTCACAAACTGATTTGTGGCAGAGGTGGCATCCTATGACAACCCAATCTACTGCCAGTGTTTGTTTCTCAAGACTGCAAGGCTATGAGTGCTCTATTTTATCCACCTGTTAGCAATGGGTGTGGCTGAAACACCTGAACTCAGTAATTAGGTGGTGCAGTCCGCTGCATGTGTGTAAGCTCTCTGCAGGCGTCATGTGGGGATTATGTGATTGGTTCATTTTGTAATGTAACTGCTTAGACATATTGCATTACTTCTCTTTTCAAGTTTGGTGATGGCGGGTGAAGAATTATTGTGGACAAAAAGTGTTGTTCTTCACTGCTTGAGTGTTTGTATCCAGGGAAAACAATAAAAAGCAGAAAGCGGATTAAGATATTACCTAACACTTTGCACACCCGCTCACGGAGGTGAAAAAATCTACAATTCCTACCAAAGTCTGTCTATGCTGACTTTAATCTGTTTGACTGAGAAGAGTTGTGAGGCATAAATACATTGATACTTTCGCTGTAAAACAGGCTGTAGACAGTCCTACCATGTACATTCTGGTTATTAGCTTCAGTGCACAGCGCTGCTCAGTTTCTCTGCGTATTTGCTCAGTACTTGGCATGCAGAATGTTATTTGGAATGAAACAGCTTTATTTGAAAACAGAGCTGTCTGTAGAGGCTGCGTTTCATGTAGCATGAACGGATTATTTTCCTACAGAGTGTGAGTATATAAAATGTAAACTTTGTCCATGTATGGTGGTCTATTCAGATTTACAGTGTAACTCACCAAAGAACAAGATTTCTAAAATTGCACAGTGCATCTCTGGCTTTAGAGGATATTCAGCTACAGCTCAACCAGCCAAACAACAAGATGTAAAGCTCCACAAGTGACCTCCTCGGATGCTTTAGCCTTGGATGTGATTCCTGGTGTCACCGGGCCACAGACACTTATGTTTAAAGAGACAGATGAGGCGTACTTACTGACATGTTGACTACAACGCACACTATGCGTGTGTGTGTCTTTATATATGGCCTATTAGGCTTAAATGGGAATATCTCTGATTTTATATGTTTTTGCATAATTAAATGATTAAAATGAAAACAGTCATTCAGTGGTTTGATGTGAAATATTCTGTTCCAGAGAAACTTACCAAGTCAGAATTGTTCACAGTGGAGGTGATAGGAACCATAAGTCTAAAGTGTTTAGTGTCTCAACCTACATCATAGAACACTAAAGGAATATTAAAAAATCTGGGCCAGCTGTGTTATTATTTTATTTTTACTACAAAGCTTCTTTTATCCAAACTCCATCCAGACTGGATGATTGTTGTGGTGTTTCCCATGCTTGCTTGAAAGTCTAATGTGTCATTATTACAAACTAACAGAGGATTGTGTAAGGCATTTAGTTTGCTATTACTGAGAAGCCATGTGATCAGAAAGCACAGTAACTTATGGCTTGTTTACAGATACAATAAACAGCACTGTTCATACCAGTGTCTCTTATTATTTTTATGATCTACTGTCTCTTCCTTGACCTCATGTAATTCATGTATTTCTTCCTTCTATTTTTGCACCGTCTCAGGCTATCACTTATATTGTCCTGCCCAACGGACTTGAAGAATTTTCCAGTGGACACTCAGACCTGTATGATGCAGTTAGAAAGCTGAGTCGCCTCTTCTCCCGTTCTCCCAATCTGTGCCTTCTTTATTCTTATACTATAATGGCATGTGACAAAAGTTGATGTGTTTAAGCATAAAAGTTCAATGTGATAAAAGTACTGATGTATACTCAACGAGCACTTTATTAGGAACACCTCCTTGTTTGTACACTCATTGTCCATTTTATCAGCTCCATTTAACATATAGGTGCACTTTGTAGTTCTACAGGTACATACTCTAGTTAATCTGTTTCTCTGCATACTTTGTTAGCCTCCTTTTACCCTGTTCTTCAATCGTCAGAACCCCCACAGGACCACCAAAGGGCAGATATTATTTGGGTGATGGATCATTCTCAGCACTGCAGTAACATTTGTGTGGTGGTGGCATGTTACTGCGTGTTGCACTGGTATGAGTGGATCAGAGTGGATCATTTTCTTCTGTGTGAATATATAGAACATATATGTATTTAAATGTTTGCAGATGCCTGCTCATCCAATGTTTCTTCTGAAATCAAGGGTATTAAAAGGGGGTTTGTCACAACAACTGTGTATAGTGTACACGATGTGTTATTGTACTATTTGTTGTTTATTTGTTTCAGTTTTGTTAATGAATACCCTTTCCCTCCATTCTTTTTCATTGTGTTTTGCTATCCGGAGGTGACAAGATAGGGGATAGGTTCCCCTTTTCAGTCTTGGTTCCTCTCAAGATTTCTTCCTCTTGCTCTTATGGAGTTTTTCCTTCCTTATGTAGCCCTTGGTTGGCTCACTTTGGCTTGCACTTGGATTCTCTGTAAAGTTGCTTTGTAACAACACCTGTGGTCTTGACTTGACACTCGGTCATAAGAGCATTAGTAAGTTCATTCGAGTTCATCCCAAAGTTGTTTGATGGGGTCGTGGTCAGGGTTCTATGCAGGCCAGTCAAGTTATTCCTACCCAAATACTGCAACTCTCTTTTATTGCTCAAAACCCTTAGAAACTCGCTTTTGTGCCCCACCCCAACTTGAAAGTAAGACCCCTTCCCCTAATTTTTCTGATCATTAAAATCAAAAAGTTTTGTGATGCCAGTGAAAATATTACAAAATGTAAGGTTGTCATGGACAAAACGCTGTTTTCTTGCATTCACATGACTTTAATACACCTTAAATAGACAAAAGAAATGGAAAAAAGCTCTTCTTTGATCGTCACAGATTGTCGGCAGATGCTTTTACCGTGGCAATGTTTACACAGGTGCATGCCGCTGTAAGTTGTGCAAAAAGGCATGGAAAGATGTTTTTTTTTTTTTTAACACCAATAAAACATAGAATTAGCTTGCTCCACTGTTTCTTCACTGAGCTGTGCAAGTTTCTATAGGCTACTTTCCTAGCTAAGTAATAGTGGTTGACTGTGGTAAAGAAAAAAGTTCAATACCGTGATAAAGCAACGAGAAAATCACAGTAATCAACTACTCACACTAGACCTCTACATCAAGTACTGCAAAATGGTAGGTGGTAGGTTAATTAGCCAATAGGCCTGGACAATAGGCTGATGTAATCAGATATTGTCGATAATGAACAAGTAACCCGATGATGATGTGCAAGAGGTGATAATCGCTGTTTTGGTAAAAGAACTGGGGGAGAATTAGAGAGGACTAATTTACTATTAAACAGCTTAAAATACATTGGGAAACTAGGGTTCACGTAAGAAGTGTGCAGGTTTATGCACCAGCAGCCAGTTTCACAGAGAGAGAGAGAGAGAGAGAGAGAGAGAGAGAGAGAGAGAGAGAGAGAGAGAGAGAGAGGGAGGTTTGTAAAGAAACTGCCTGTGTTTTTTCTCTCTGCTATACACTGTAATGCAAGCTTTACTGCACGGATTCCCCTTAATTTAGTTCATGTGAATGGAATCGAAAAAATGCCAACTCTAACCTGAAGAGAAAGTTCCTCTGATCCCCGTCTATAGCCAGTGTGCAGTATTTTCTCTACAGATTAAGTGTCCCGGTGGTTAGCTGAATTATGAAAACGCTGCTGTAATGATAGAAAATGCCTTGTTTTTAATGTGGGAAGCGTGTGGGCATGGCTTTAGAAGCACACAAGTTGCCATTGAATCTGTGGCAGAAAAAGCTCATGAACGCACGTGTTTGCAGTAACATTTATTATAATGCCAGATGAAGTAGTTCTCAAAAGATATTGGACTACTAGTATTTTATAATTTAAATTTATTCAAGATTTTCATTGAAACAGTTAATATTAAAATATATATAGATTAAAACAGAATAGAAAATAGGTCAGAGACTGCATGTATTTTTTTTTTATTTATTTACTTTTTGGGGGGCTAGGGTAGGGTGGCAGTACTATCAATAATTGCAATTTCTTAACTAAAAAATGATTGTGCTAGTTATTTTTAAATATTGCTCGGGTCTATTAGCCATTGTGACTATAACACATGTCTCCGGACCTCTGGACAAACATTGTCAAGTGTAAACTGTACAGAAAGTCTTATAGCAGTTTCCAAACAGTTAAAGAATTTATAATCAGTCTATGGTGGATGTTGGAAAAGGTCTAGATTAGTTCAGATGGATGTTGGGGGGGCAGTAATCTGATCACCTCGAATGGTAACACATTACAATACTGTTTCGTAGTTATTAAGTAACTAATCAGGAACTAAGCAAGAACAAATGAGTACCTGCTGCATTAACACTTAAGTAACTACTATTAACTACCAAGAACAGACTTATAGCCGCTATTCTCACATCCCCAGCAGGATACTTTTCGTCAAAAGTAGAATAATTTCCTGTAAATATCTCTCAACGTTCAATTTTTTACGAGGCTGTAGTCAGCTTTTCATTCGCCAGCTTCTTGTTCAAATTTTTCTGTTCCATCTTAAATGGTGCCTGAGGCGCCTGAATGTAACTGCTGCACCATTTAAGGTGGAATGGGACAATTCAAACAAGAAACTAACTTTAGTTTCATGACTAGCGTTTAACAGTTTCTTATTGCAGACTAAACGTGCCAGGAAACCAGCTGAGTGCTTATGAATGCCAAATTATCGATGTTCGCCTTAAATCCTTCTCTTTGTCTTGTCGTTTGCTACTAGCTAGGTATGATTCTGACCCCTGAGCCAGCGTATGGAAGCACTTTGGCTTCTATGAAGGAAAAAAGGACCTGGACAGGAGCCACACTATATAAAAGTTGTGTCACACTAGACCAAAATATTTTGGAAAGGACAAACATGAGAAACCATATCACACGGTTGTAGTTGCTGCCAACCAACAGACCATTGAACAAGTGAGGTCAAGCTTCCACCCAACTCGGTAAGGGTGAAGTAAATTACGAACACTATCGCAACTTTTATTGCCAAGGATTTGTGTCCGTTCTCAGTCGCTGAGAACCAGGGCTTTCGCGCTATGTCCCACACTTTGAAGCCGAGATACAGCGTCCCATCTCGAAGATATTTTACTGACACAGTGATCCCCACTCTCTACAACGAGACCAAAACTGAAGTTATAGAATCAGTGAAGAAAACTGGTAGGACGGCTGTAACGTGAAGCATGGACATCCACTGCCACAGAATCTTATATAGCACATTTTATCACAGATGAGTGGCAGCTCGCGTCTCATGTGATCCAAACAAGAGCAGTGAATGAGAGCCTTACAGTTGACTTGGCACATTGCTTGTTTTATTAATAAAAGATATTGAAAGTAAATTCATTATGGATCATTACAAATACTTTACTTTGAAAGTACCAAGTCGTCGCACAGTGAGAAAAAAAGAAATCCTGTATAGAAAAAAATATGCATCAAGATGCATTGATAATAGTTTATAATCACATCATAGCCCTCTGAATCGTAATTGAATCGAATCGTGAGGTGCCTAGATATTCCGACCCCTAATTGAAATACACTACACAGTGTGCAGTCGCTACAATGTAATGAATTATATCCTTCATTATTATTTATAGAAAAATTTATAGTGAACTCTTCAGTAACAACCCATTCACTGCCGGTGTTTATCTATGAAGATTGTATGGCTTTATGCTTGATGAATCTGCCCACAAATTAGAAGGAATGTACTCACCCTTTGGGCCATGTTTACTGTTTAGATGCTCTGAAATTATTCTTACACAAATGTGAACATATAATAAAGTGGTCAGAAAAAATCTTTTCTGAAGCAGACATGTTTTGGGACCTGCCAGCATAAACACATAGAATTGTGTAGTTTGACGTCTGGATACTGGATTAACCAGTTCTACATTATTATAACAAACTTGCAAGCCTTCAGTCACACATTTTAACATTTTAAGGCCCTCGAGCAGCTGATCTTTCAAGTGGCTGAAAATGAAATAAGAAATATATGGATATGAACAGTCATGTGAAGAAGTAAGTACACCCCATGAACAGTTTATACTTTTTCAGCTTATTCAGACATACAGATATCCGGTCTTCATGTAAACAGTGCTGGCAGATGAAGGTGATATATAACAAGTGACACCAAAAATTAACATTTTTGTCAACAGAAATGCAATTTCCTTATGTAAAAAAAGCAAATACACTACTATATATATATATATATATATATATATATATATATATATATATATATATATATATATCACCTCTTCGAATGTTTCAAATTGAAATCGGATGCACCTAATCAGGTGCTAATGATTAGAACACCACTAGAGAATATCTTATAGGAACCTGTCTTATTAAACCTCAGATATATGATCTGGTTTGAGCTTTGTTATTGGAGTTTGAGGTATCATCATTTGGGGTACTGGTCACAGTACCAGAAGCCATGTTTGGGCAAAGCCAATGACTGCATTTGATAAGAAGAACCTCATACCAACTATAAAGCATGATGGTGAAAATGTTATGGTTTGGGGCTGCTTTGCTGCCTCAGGGCCTGACCAACTTGCAATCATAGAATCAACTACGAATTCTCTTTCATACCAGAGAGTGCTTTAGGAGAATGTGAGGCCATCTTCCAAAACGTTGAAGCTGATAAGGTGAACCTTCCAACAGGACAAAGATCCCAAACATACAAGTAAACGCTCCAAGGAATAGCTCAAAAGGAAAAAATAGAGTGTTGTGTAATGACCTAGTCAAAGCCCAGATCATTCCAATTCAAATGCTGCTATACATGCAAAAAGCCCTTCAAACATTGCACAGCTTAATTCTAATAATTCTGCATGAAGTTGGTGTAGATGCCATCTGGTGATCAAATGCTGGTATGCCCACATACGTCACAAAAAAAGAAACATTTCATGGGGTGTACCTACTGTTACACATGAGATATATGCATATATCTCTGTGCAGTTGGCTACACCATGAATGAAATGGTTTTCGAGTGGCTTTCTGAGGGTCTTGTTCAGGTGGCAGATGACTTGATGCTCCCACAGTTTGTGCTGAAGGAGGAGAAGGATCTTGGATACTGTACTAAATACTACAATACAGGTACTGATACCCACATGGTTTCATTATCCATGTCAGTACGTCTACTTTAGGGCTGTGCAACACAAGACAAATGAGTGGATATGAATCTCTGTCCCACAGGTAAATTCACCTGCATAGAAGCAAGATTTCACTTAAAGAGACAGATGGGCTACTACCTCATCCAAATGTACATTCCTAGTCTGCTGATCGTCATACTGTCCTGGATTTCATTCTGGATTAACATGGATGCTGCTCCAGCCAGAGTGGGGCTTGGAATTACCACTGTGCTCACTATGACCACCCAAAGCTCAGGCTCAAGGGCCTCTCTACCAAAGGTAATACAACCTTATTACTCATTTATTTAGCTGGATAAAGTATTTATTCCACTCTTCTCAGACAAATTGTAATATTACTTTTTTGGACGCTAGAACAGCAGCATTTTGTTGGATTAGATACAGAATTACAATGACCTTCTATCTCAGGTTTCCTATGTAAAAGCCATTGACATCTGGATGGCCATCTGCTTGCTGTTTGTGTTTGCTGCACTGCTGGAGTATGCAGCAGTCAGTTTTGTTTCACGGCAGCACAAGGAGTTCATCAGACTGAGTAAGAGGCAGCGGAGACAGAGAATTGTAAGACTAGCACACTCACACAAGTATCCACATATGCATATCAAAAGAATGCCTATTTAATCATTCTTTTAATTTATACAGTGTCTTTCTTACCCTCAAGGTCACTTTACAGTTGTGAGAAAGGAAAAAAAAGGAAAGAGAGACTAGGAGGAATAAATGTGAAACTTTTTAAGACAAAAGGAATGTTTTAAGATGAGTCTCACAAAAAGCAAAGGAAGAACAGTCACAGAGGTGTCAAGGGATGGTATATCGGAATTTGAGGGCCATAGCACTGAAAGACCTCACTGATGTCAGACTGGGGACTAATAGTAGATGGTGTGTAAGATACGAAAGTTCAGAGAGATAATGTTAGGCAGGGCTGTGTAGTGCATTATGTGTGAGAAGCAGACATTTATACTTAACTTGCTGAACAACATAGGCCCAGTGGCAGGATAAATTTGGCAAGGGGCAAAAGTAATGACTGAGGGGCTATGACTCCCCTTACCCAATAAACCGTGGGCAGTGGGCTTCTATACTTAACTATCAACACATTTTCTTCAGCATTACCATTACAACACAACACTGTAGAATCAGAAATATCATAGCTTACCAAATACTAAGATAAAAATATTAACTTTAATGAACAGCAGCGTACCAACACCAGCCACACATGGAAACCAAACAAAACTGTAAACTGCTCTTTCGTGTCCTGTTTAGATCCTGCACCAAATGTATAGAGGAGGTTCAATCATGCCCTCTGTAAAACAAGGGCATGCACTGAAAAAGTATTTAAGCAGTTAAAGTCCAGAACTGTCCTTGGCATAATCACGCAACAAAGATAATGTCACATTGTAGTAGCCTATGTACGTTTAGGCTAGTTAAATGGTTAAGTTAGTATGATTTAGTTTGTCCAGGCTTAGTTCATTTTCTAGGTAAAAAAATGGCAATTGCTATCCATAATGCTGGTTCAACATGAGTAAGAATCTCAGGTAATAAATATTAAATGATTATGAAATGTCTGGATTGCTTTAATGTGCTTATAATATTTTTTAGCAATGATGAACTTATGACTGAAAAAGAAACAACATATCATTTTCAGTATTTTACTTTTTTAAAAGCAGTATACAGGTACAGTCATGTGAAGAAGTAAGTACACCCCAAGAGATGTTTCTTTTTGCTATTCAGATAAACAGTGTTTATAGGTAAATGTAACATAATACAACAAAAGGTAAAGGTATTTTGACTTTGCTATCATTTATTTAAAAATACATTTAATAAGATGTCTTTTTTCTGTTGAAAAAGTAAGTATACCCCTGGCTTCAGTTACTGGTATTGCCCCTTTTGTGGGCATTTCCTATAACTGTATACCAGTTTCTGGCATCTACTGAGATAATTTTTTGCCCACTCCTTCATGCAGAATTATTTAAACTGTGCAGTGTTTGAGGGTCTTAATATTTATACAGCATGTTTCAAATCCCCCACATCATTTCAAAACAGGTTCAGATCTGGGTTTTGACTAGGCCATTCCACAACCCTCTGTTTATTCTTTTCTAGCCATTACTTGTTGGATTTACTTATATGTTTGGGATCTTCATCCTATTGTCCTTTATCCTGCACAGGCATCACATTGTCCTCAAGCACTCTCTGGTATGAAAGAGAAATCATAGTCGATTCTACGATTGCAAGTTGGCCAGGCCCTGAAGCAGCCCAAACCATAACATTTCCACCATCATGCTTTATGTATGAGGTTCTTCTGATCAATTGCAGTTTTTTGTTTTCACCAAACATGGTTTCTGGTACTGTGGCCAAACAACTCATATCTTTGACTCATCTGTCCACAGCACTTTGTTCCAGAAGTCCTGGACCTTGAATAAACATTGATTAGTAAACCTTAGTCTTGCCTCAATGTTCTTTTTAGACAGCAAATGCTTCTCTCTGTTGCACTTCCCATGCAGGTCAAATTTGTGCAGTTCATTCTAATGAAAGCTGCATGCACATTGACATCCACAGTGGCAAAAGCTACTTGCTGATACTCTGATGAAATGTTGGAGTTCTCAAAGACTGTTTTTAGCATCTCTTGGGTTAAATTTGCTGGGGCAGCCTGGCCTGGACATTTTCTACAAGATCTTGAAGTGTTTCTGTGGACTTCATCCAGAAGTCCATTTGTGAGGTCAGATGTTAATGATGGATGAGAGGGCCTGGCTCGCAATCTCTGTTCTAGTTCATCCCAAAGGTGTTTGATGGGGTTAAGGTCAGGGTTCTTCCACACCAAACTCACCCAACCATGCCTTTATGGTCCTTCCTTTGTGCACAGGGGCACAGTCACACTGGAACAGAAAAGGGCCCTCCCCAAACTGTTACCACAAAGTTGGAAGCATACAACTGTCCAAAATGTCTTGGTATGCTGAAGCATTTAGATTTCCCTTCACTGGAACTAAGGGGCCTAAGCCAACCCCTGAAAAACAACCCCATTGCATTATCCCTCCTCCACCAAACTTTACAGTTGGCACAATGCAGTCAGGCAGGTAATGTTCTCCTGGCATTCGCCAAACCCACACTCATCCATCAGACTGCCAGATGGAGAAGCGTGATTTATCACTCAGAATACGTTTCCACAGCTCCAGAGTCCAGTGATGGCGTGCTTTACACACGACACAGATGTAGCAGGACATACATTTCACAAACTGAGTTGTGGCAGAGGTTGCATCCTTTGACAGTGCCATGTTTAAAGTCACTGAGCTCATCAGAACGACCCATTCTACTGTCAGTGTTTGTCTATTGAGACTGTGAGGCTATGTGCTTAATTTTATCCACCTGTTAGAAATGGGAGTATATACATATACATATAGTCGTGTACTTACTTTTTCCACATAAGAAAACTGCATTTCTGTTTATTTCAATTACATAAAGGATGACAAAAATGTTAAGTTTAGGTGTCACTTGTTAAATTATATCACCTTTATTTATCAACATTGTTTAAATGAAGATATCTGTATGTCCAAATACCTAAAAAAGTCTATGCGGTGTGCTTACTTCTCCATATGACTATATATACATGTACCTGTCTATTTCATACATTTTAAATACTTTTCCACAATATTTCATATGTTCATACCATCTACAGTTAGGATGTATGGAATGGAGATTTCCAAGATGCTGGAAAGAATCTTTATTTATTTTTTTAATTAGACATATCGTATCTTATTGAAAAATGAACATGTGACAGAAAATGCTGAAGATAAACGGCAGCACAGTAAGATCTGTATATTAGGTTATATACCCACAAGACAGTAGTTTGTTTAGGGTTCTCATTTATTTCCCATGTTTATCCCCATTCACACCTCAGTAGGCATTTTAGACCATAAATTGCCATCTCCCCTTTGAACTATCCACCTCTGCAACAAATAGTTCAAGAAAAAGCCTTCCCCAGGATTTTATTACAGAATTTGGAACAAAATTCCTTTTGATTTTTGTCTTCTAGACCTGAATTGCACACATCTGCACTTTTGTGGACAGCTTAGCGTGCATGAATGTATCATACATGGTGTCTACGTGTGGGTGGACCATTTGAGGCTGAAACTACATCACTACTATCAGCTAATAATGCTTAATGTAGGTTTCTGTTTTTGTAGGTTTGACGTCCTGATTTTTCTCATGGACAGCCCTATTTTTAGAGGTCTGTTATTTTTCAAACTTACAGAGAAAAAAGGTCTCCTGTGTCTTTTAGATTATGAATGTTATCCAATTTATTGATGCTTGTGGTCGTCAAAATGTCCCAGTCAAATTCATTACGTTACTCATCGTTTATAAAAGTAATATATGACAAAAACCCAAGATATGAGAACACAATGAATCACATCACTCTAAAGCTCTTGTGCAATTACATACTAAGGAACATCAGCGGGCATGACCAGTGCCAGGGGTGGGCTTATGGGGCAGCTAATGTTTTTCACCGTTGGTTCATAAGTTATGATGCACATCCTTTTTCCTCAGTGAAATCCTTTAGAACTTCTTCTCACTCACTGCACATGTCACAACCCCACCCCCTACAGTTACTAGTTCTGATAACATTTAAAGCTGAAACTGGCTACTTATTCCCGAGCTTCATTTTGATTTTTCTGTTCCACCATAAATTATTCATTAGGGGCTAATTTCTGACGAAAAACAAAATTTGAATAAGACATTTGTGGATCAGTTATATGCTGGCACCTTAGAAGCTAACTGCTGCTCCATTTAAAGTGAAATGGAAAACTGAATAAGAAGCTGGCGAGAAGCCAACTTCAACTATGTTGGTAACGTTAACATGCACATTACTATGTATTTGAAAAAAAAAAAGTCAATCAACATAATTAGCCCCTCAGCAAAATGCTTTTTCAGGTATGTGTAGATTTAGTAGCTATTAGTACTGATAGGGCTTTGTAATGTAGCTGCTCTGGTATCTATTGTGGTTGCTATGATATTCCAGGTGGCTGCTAGGGTGCTGCTAGGTGGTTGCTGTAATATTCCATATCATATTGATATGGATGTTGTTAAATGCTTGCTTATGCTATCTCTTGTGTTTGCTAGGGGTTGCTAGGTAGTTGATATGGTGTTTCAAGTGCATGCTGTGGTGTTGCTAAGCAATTGGTGGTTGCTAGATTGGTGGTGGCTATGGTAATCCAGGTGGTTGCTTTGGTATTCCAGGTGGTTGCCAGGGTGCTGCTAGGTAGTTGCTGTGGTATTCCAGGTGGTTGCTAGGATGTTGGTAAGTGGATATTGTGGTTGATATGGGTGTTGCGTAATGGTTGCTATGCTATCTCTTGTGTTTGCTAGGGGTTGATATGGTGTTTCAAATAGGTGCGGTGGTATTGCTAAGCAATTGGTGGTTGCTAGGTAGTTGCTGTGGTATTCCAGGTGGTTGCTAGGGTGTTGGTAGGTGGATGTTATGGCATCTCTGGTGGTATATTTATTGTTATTGTGATGAATTATGTCACATTGTCACATGCTTTTCTGAACATGTTGTGAATTTCATCAGTACTTAAAGAGCACTCACCAACTGCATTTTTCATTATAAAGGGGGCTGTTTTCAATCCTGTTTAACTGAATTTAGTGCAGTGCTATATGTGAAATTTTGAATAGAATTTATTGTCTTTGTAGTTTTTGACAGTATTGTAAATATGTGCTTCTTTTTTGTCTTTTCCAGTGTTTCAAACCTCAGCAAAACTAAATATTGTGATGCAGATCATGTAGATCATCATCAAGAACATATGTTGAAGTTTTGTGATATAATATTTTTGTGATGTCGACCCCCCCTTGTTGCCAAATTGTTGCTAAGTGGTATTGTGGCATCTCTGGTGATTGCTAGAGCGTTGCTAGGCCATTGCAATGACATTCTAAGTGATTGCTAGGGTGTTATTACATGGTTGTTTTGATATTCCGGGTGGTACCTACAAAGTTGCTAAGTGGTTACTATGTTATGTAACCAGGTGGTTGTTAGGGTGTTGATAAGTGATTGCTATGATGTTCCAAGTGGTTGTCAGAGGGTTGCTAGGTGGTTGTTATGGTATCCCAGGTGAGGTGCAAGGTGCAAGGGTTGCTAATGTACTTTTATCACCGTGACATAAGAGGGGTGTACAAACCTTTGGCCACAAAGTTCCACCAATCATTCCTATCCTATGCTGCGCAGAAAACATGCATCCAATTTAAAAAGCTGTATACAAGCCCGCCATTCACAATTGAATCATACATTCTGGAGTTCCGGCCTTAATTATCCCATTGGGTTTATGGGCATGTGCCCATTTGCCCAAGCCACAAGGGGGGCCCTGCAAGCAATTATGACAGTCTAAACAGCTGCCTTGACTCGCAGTGGGTACTTAACTAGCGGCACAGTGGAAAAAACTGATTTCAAAACTTGTATTCCTGACACTCTCCACATCTTTCCCAAAAGGCCTACATTTTTCCTCACTTCACTGCTTAGCTATCGTTCCACTCTTCGCCATTAAGCTTTCAGCGCTTTCAGGGTTTTTTTTTTTCACCAAACTAGTATTTTTGTGAATATATTTTGAATTTGCAGCTACTTCCATGGTCTACTTTCACACATTCATCAAAGGTAATATAAATGTTCACAAACATTTTCAGTGCCTGCCATGGCAGCATGCCTTAGCCTAGGCAGCTCTATGGTTTCAGTTCTTTTTGCAACAACAAATAAATGACAAATAATGTAAATTTACACAATATTCTAGAAATACTTAGATAACCCAATTTTAGTTTTTGTATACCACAAGCCCCAGACTATACAGCTTGGTAAGAACATTTAAAATTCTTCCCAAAAAAATAAATAAGTAAATCAAATTTTAAAAACGCTTTTTTAGTACTACACGCCCAACACCACACTTAGTATGTTGCCATCATGGTGCTGCACAACCCTCATGTAACCTGCTATGTCATAGAAAAATTCCCTGACCACCAAAAAAGTAGCCAAGTAGCCAGGGACAAACATTTGCGCCCAGGGGTCTATAACTTTGATTGTCCGGGCGTGCCAGAGTTGATTTGGTGCTGACATCTCAAAAACTGTGGGTCGAGATAAAAATCCAGCAAAAAGATAATAGCAATAATAATAAGAACAAGAACAAGAAGTCTGACACACCCTCTGTGTCTGTTTGAAGTTCTTGTTTTTTGCGCAGCTGATCAAAATCAACATTTGATTGCAACCTAGTTTAACTGGATCATTTTGCTGAACTACAAAACACAGTACTACCGGAATAGTATATAGAGTGTATTACACATTACAGAAGAATAATACACCACATCATTACAGAAATCTTACAGTTTCATAAAAGCACATACAAAAAAGAAGGAATCATGTAGAAATCCCTGTAGTATTACTACAGATCTTTTTCACAAAGGAATGACTAGTTCTTACCTTATCTTTTAATTTTAGTTATTTGTTCTTCAGTGTTAATATAAATAGCGTGTAGCAAATTATTATGATCCATGATGATCCATTTACCCATGATTCATGAGTTAAGGTGACAGATGAAAAAGAATGGAGAGAGGAAGCAGAACCACAGCTTTACCAGGGCAAGAATGCAGACAAGCAAGTGAAACAGCAACAGATAGAGCAGAGAGAGAGAATGGAATGGTTAAATTGCAAACAATAAAAATGACTGCCTTATGCACAGGCTTATCATGATCAGACATTTTTACTTGACAGTGACCAGTCATATAATTAGTCCCAGGAGACAGTTTATTTTTTGCCAATTTTATGCCACTGTAGTATAAGCCTAAATCTCATTAGCTGGCAACATAAAATTGAAAAAACAAAATGAAAAACATGATATATGTGATATGCTTATACATATATTCTGCACACACATTCACAAAAATATCCACAATTACACAGACTTGTGTACAGCAAGCAAAGCTCACATTTTTCATCTTGAGAGTGTGAACTGGCTTTGTAGATCATTTTTCTTGCTAGTTAGGTAATACTGAAACGAAACAATAGACTGCATGTTTTGCACAAACACACCCACAAATGTGATTAGACAGAATAATATATAGAGTCAATCAAAGCTTAAATGTATTGTCTCGAGTCATTCCGGGTGCTAGTATAAATGCTAATGATGTAAGTCACCTTGGCAAACACAAGCAATCAACACATTAACATACTGTTCTAGTTTACATTGTGGTGTTGGTCATATATTAGTGTAGTCCAGCTGAAGACAGAGGACAGATGAAAACTTCCAACTGACTACAGAAATAGTACAAGCTTCTCTATAAGTAGGTTAATAAGTGTTACAAAATAGTTCACCTTCGGTTTATTGCCATGTAAACAGATGAAATGTTGAAATATAATGACCATAGAAAAGTAATTGAGCCTCTCCAATGAAAAACCACGTATTAACCATTCCACTTTTTTTTTTTTAGAGTGTTAGTTATTAAAAAGCCAACTATGCTTTGCTTACATTTTAGTGCCCCTTGTATTTTAAATACAGGGCATCAAACAATGACATACCATGCTTATATGTTTTTTCACAAAAAAATGTTACACTGTTTTTCATTGCAAGGGCTCAACTGCTATACCTGTGTCTCTTCATTGTTTCACGGATTAATTTTCTCTGATTGTTTTAAAAAAATGAAGGTTCTCTTGGTGTCAGACTTGTGGTATGCTTAACCAGAAAGTAGTGAACATGCTGCTATTCCCACCTTTGAGTACCAGCATTATGTGCTGTTGGAACCCATTTGAGCAGGTACCAAAAACCATCCAACAAGAACCTTCAGTACTGGACTGATGGCCAATAGAAAAATCACAGTTCTGGTGCTAAACATTCTGGTACTTTGCACAATGGAAAAATGTTTTATTTCTTCACTCTATTGATGTACCTATTGTAAGACTGTAATATCTATCTCTCCTTTGCTTTTCTATTTAGGAAAAGGAGATGGTCCAGGAGAGCTGTGGCCTTTATTTTCATGGTTATGGGTTTGGCCACTGTCTGCAGACAAATGACAGGAAAGCAGTAGAAGGACACACCATGTTTGCCGCTCCCCTTCCAGTAGAGGTTCTGTATGACGGTGAGGCACTCCAGAAGCACTTTGTGAACCGAGCCAAGCGTATCGACACCATATCCAGAGCAGTGTTCCCCCTCAGTTTCCTTATATTCAATATATTTTACTGGATCACCTACAAAGTACTACAACATGAAGACATTCATGCTGATTTGAAACAATATCTTCTCACCAATGGGAGGCAAATCTGGCCAAAAAGGAAATTAAAATTAAAACAAAATAAATCTTTTGCCATTTCTTTTCATCTGTGCAAATATCCTGCCAAAATTAAAAATGAAATGAAATTCGCATTTTCATTTTTCACATAAGCACGAGTCATTGGTGGCAAAAATAAATATAAGTTTAAGACAGCTATTTGTCATTTTATTTTAGTCATTATTCTGGTATTTCATGGTCATATCTAAAATGGAAAAGCTAATAAAGAAAAGAAAATCCAAGCTAGACTTTGCCTTTACTTCATGAAATGCGTTATTCATGTCAAAACTAAAATCAAAATGCAATGTTTACGTTCTTATTTCTTTTTCATAGCAATAGGCTGCATAGCTGACAAAATGAAAATGCAAAACAGATAAATCAATGGCAGAGTGACAGTTTGCGATTCAGTTTTCGGCGTGGACACGTTTTAAGTGTCAGAATGAAAAGGCGAATGCAAACAAACATCGGCGCCATCTGGTGGTGATTTACTTTTCATTTCCCACTTTGCTTTTATGGCCTCAGAAAAAAAGGTGTCAGACCAAACGCAAGCATGGTCGAGCATATACACTGGTTCATAGAACTTGGAAAACTATTGTGTATTCTCGATATAAATGCCAGTATAACATTTTCAGTTTTTTCTGAGGCCGTTTGGTCTGATGTTCAGTTACACCAGATCTGAGACATGATGATGGTTTTCTTGAGACTCAAAGTCATTTAGCCTGAGCAATGATGCCGTTCTGACTCTGAGGTCTGAGGATATCCTAAAATGTACCCCGTAGCCCCGCCTAATGCTAATTAACATATATTTGCATGTTGGTCAATGTTCTTTTGCATTTGCCTTTTCATTCTGACACTTAAAACGCGTCCACGCTGAAAACGGAATCCCAAACTGTCACTTTGCTGTTGATTTATCCGTTTTGCATTTTCATTTTTATTTTGTCAGCTATGCATCCTATTGCTATCAAAAAGAAATAAGAATGTAAACATTGCATTTTGATTTTAGTTTTGACATATTACGCATTTCATGAAGAAAAGGCAAAGTGAAGCTTGAATTTTCTTGGATTTTAGATATGACCATGAAATACCAGAATAATGACTAAAATGAAATGACAAATAGCTCAAATGGCTCATGGAAATTGCAAATGTAGGTATTTCATTTCATTTTTAATTTTGGCAGGATATTTGCGCATATGTTTAGAAAAAGAAATGGCAAAAAGACATTGCCATTTACATTTTGTTTTAAATTTTTCGGCCGGATTTGCCTTCTATATCTCACCAGCTTGTAACATATACCTTATCCATCTTTGTTGTTAGGGTAACAATGGGGGAAGACTCCCTCCTGGTATAACTTCCCACTCTTTATTTATATCTTGACCAAATAATGGGACTGAATCAAATCTCAGCACATTTATCAAATGGCTATGCTCTGGCTATATTTGTACCTTTTTGAATGAAGTCTGTTGGGGAAGCTGTTGTCATGGGATATTAGTGTTCTATGCATTTATGTTAAGTTTTACAACAATTTTCTTTTAATGGGGGAGGAGAAAGTATTTAATTTGGTGTCTTGAAGAAAATTAGTTTTTTTCTTCTGAAGTGAAAATGTAAAGTTAAAACCTCAGGGCGAGGAGCCTTTTCAGAAAGGGAGCAAAGTACCCCATAATCATATTATAAACACACAAAGTTTATTGTAGTTTTACTGGCTAGCTGGGATAGGCTCCAACACCCCACCGTGACCCAGAAGGATGAGCGGTTTAGGTGTGTGTGTGTGTACTGGCTAGCTGGCATTAACATTATATGCTAACATAATGATCATTAGCATTGCTAGCTAGATAAAATTAATCAACATTTTTAACCTTGTAGGAGATGAGTCTTCATGTGGGTTTTGCAGTATTGTTCACTCCAGGCATAGTTAAATCCACACTTAATTTGTTCTGTCATGCGTTCTAATTATTTGCTCTTTTGAATCCCTTGCAGTTCTCAATTGAATGTTAAATGTTATCTATCTCATTCTCATACTCTCTCAGTATGTTTCACCAAGCAAATAGCCAGAGCTGTTAATCTGCTTCATTGCCTTAGCTACATTTGAGGTACCAAGCAGATTTTTATTCTTTTTTTTAACTTAAGAAAAAAAATTACATCTAAGTTGAATTTTATTAAGAGGTCATTATGCTCTTTGAAAGATTTTTTAAACATCAATGCAAATGAACATGGATAAATTCTTGTCTAATGAAGAGTAACAATGGGATTTAGTATTACATTTGTGATGAATGATACTGTATATTGCTAATGATGTGATATTAAAAGTAGAAGTTTTACTATGTATATTCTACATAGAGTCAACAGACAGCACAAATGTGTATTTCTTTACGTCTCAATTTAAATAAATAAAACTTCAATCTAGGAATTCAAACTGTGTGATGCAAAACTGCAAATAATTCAATATGTTGTCATTGTGCTTCTGCAGAGGTTACACATCCAGTAGACTTTACATAGCTTTCCAGATGCAACAAATGAAAACTGATCACTGTAAAAACACTGCAGAATACATACAGCAATAGAGACCTGAGAAAGTGTATGTAAAACATACTATATGTATATTCAAACACAGTTTCACAAAAGATCAGGTAAAATGCAAATAAAAACAGAAAGCAGTGATTCATAAATCTACTTTGACCTTAATTTAAAAAAAAATAAATAAATAAAAATAAAAATAAAAAAATAGTACAAGATACATTATATGGTGTTACGTTCCCCTCAGATGTAACTAGGGGTGGAGGGGAAATAACATGGCATGTGATGGAGACAGAAGGGAAGGACACAAGTACACAGTAGTGGCGCTTGCAATCAAGTCTTTACTTTGCTTCTCACGTGCAAAAGTGTCTGATGCAGGAACAATATATTTACAAGGAAAGAGGGATAATACAATAAGCCGAGCTGAATGCATATAGATTAAAAGAAAAGGAGTTAACTAACCACCAAGTATGCAAGACCATTGACCAACCGCAAGGGTGGATGGAGGACGGTGCCAAAGAAATGAAACCAAGAAAACCAAAGTCTAATCTGCCTAGCCAAGGCTATTCCTCACCAAAATACAGCGAGTGGTACTCGCACCTTACCTGATGTGTCTAAACAATCCGACCACTATTGTGTGTGCATATGTATAGGTGCGCCCAACTTGCCTGTCCAGGCATGCGCTGGGAAAGAGAAAACAGCAGAGAGAGAGCTAGAAGGAGCACAGGAAACTAGCATTACTGGCTACATATACTTGGCAGATAAAAGGACTTACCATGCACACAGTCATGCATGCGAGGTAGAGGATAAGAGTCTGATAATGTAACAGCATTGACCTTTCTGTAGTCAGTACAAAATCTGAAAGTTCCATCAGGTTTTGGAACCAATAAGTAAGGTGAACTCCAGGGACTTTTACTGGGCTTGGCAAAACCATGTTCTAAAAGATATTCTACTTCCTGTTGCATAATAGCTCTTTTGGCAGTATTAGCCCTATATGGGTGTTGCTTACCTGGAGTGCTAGTTGTAACTTTAATGTCGTGCTGCAAAACAGTAGTTTGGAAAGGAACGTCACTGAATATTGATATGAAACTTGTCCAAGAATTTACAAGGTCATCACGCTGTTCTGTTGACAAATGGTCTAAAGTAACTCTGATACAGCCTGAGTGTTTGAAAGTCTGGCAGAAGGGAGAGTCTGGCTATGGAAATTTAGCCCATCTGCATCAACAGTGATAGGGACATCAGGAAGAGTACTTACAACAGCCATAGGAGCTGAACTGAAATCAGCATCCCCAACAGGTGCATTTCTGGAACGATAAGCCTTCAGCATATTAACATGACATACACGAATGCTCTTTTTCTGCTCTGGAGTCTCAGTAACATAATCAGAACTTACTGACATAATCCAGTACAGATGTGTTTTCTCCTACAGTATCAGCTAGAAATGACTCTTAGTAACTTTAATGGACCACATACAGTGTGTCCAAACACAAGCTCAGCAGGGCTAAAAGACAGTGGACTCTTGTACTGCCTCACAAGCTGCAAATAAACCAAAGGAATACCCTCATCCCAGGCCTTTCCGGTGTCCAGGCAGAATTTGCGCAGCATAGACTTTAATGACTGATGGAATCGTTCAAGCGCTCTTTGGGACTCTGGATGATAAGGGCTAGAAACTACATGGTGAATGTTCAAAGTTTTCACAACTTGTGCAAAGAGTCTAGATAAAAAAAGTTAGTACCCTGATCAGTCTGGATTATTTTAGGCAACCCAAAAGTAGAAAAGAATTAACACCTGTATCACCACTGGAGCTGTGATCTTCCGCAAAGGCACAGCCTCAGGGAAGCGTGTAGCGGTGCACATGATAGTGAGTAGAAATTGGTTACCTGTTTTTGTCTTTGGCAATGGTCCTAGATAGTCAATCAGAATCTTTTCAAATGGTTCACCAACAACTGGGATTGGACACAAAGGAGCTGATGGAATAGTTTGATTAGGCTTTACTGTTATTTGACAGACATGACGAGCGACAGTAGTTTGAAATGTCAGTTTTCACTCCAGGCCAAAAAAAATGTTTAAGGATGTGATTATACGTCTTCATAACACCCAAATGAACTGTCCAAGGACTGTCATGAGCTAGAGACAACACCTACTGCTTATACACCACAGGGAGTACAATCTGATTAACACTGTCAGAATCAGGATCTTTACATGAACTCCATTTGCGCATTAATACATTGTTGTCAACAAAATATGTTACCAGTTTGTCAGGTACTTCCTCTGGTTTACTTATCATGGAAAAATATTTACTCAAACTAGAGTCTGCTGTTTGTGCCTCAACAAGCTGACTGTGACCAACTGCCCATTCAAGGTGCTGCTTGTCAGAGATATCAGTGGAGTCACTTTGGTCTTTTCCTGCTCTTTGCCCTGAACTGACAGTAACTGCTGGACATAAAACTTCAGACTTGTCATCACCAGAAAGAAATGAGTCAGCTAAATCTACCATACTTCCCAACTTCTGAAACTGAGCTCGAGTAAGTAGACAGGCGGGAAAAACATCAAACTGATCCATAACAACGTCAGAGGACACGAAAGTAGCGCTGGGAGTACTCAAAACATCTAAAATGGGCAAAACCTTTCCTCCAGCTGTCATTTCCCAAAATAAAATCAATTCCCTTCACAGGGAAGTATGTCAGGGGCTTGAAATGGGCTATGGGCAGACAGCAACTTTAAATACACCAGAACACAGGTCAGTACACAACTGAACATGGTGCAATGGCTCCTTAACATAGCCCATTTCAAGCCCCTGACATACTACAAACGAGCCACAGAAAGACAGAAAATGGCAGCACGTTAGCTAAAATAAATGACTGAGCAGCCCCGGTGTCTCTTAAAACATGCCCTTTAGAATAAAATGCTGATGACACGGATCAACGCCAGGCAGTTCTATTGAGCTAGAGACAGACACTCCAGGACTTAAAGAACCAGCAAGTGCTACGCCTTTTGTGAGAGGGGGTTCAGTCCCGAAGTGGCATCTGGCAGCAGGAAGTGGCAACTCCGCCGTCCGGAAATGGCACATACTGGCATGTGCCACTTAGCGAATGGCACCTGACACCGACAACTGGCACATGCCGCTCGTGCCACTCGGTTAGTGGCACTCGCCAGTGGTACCCGCCACACAGAAACGGCGTGTGCCTCTCAAAACAGGCACATACCAACAGCTCCTGTGAGTAAGGCAAAGACTCTGGATAGCGGCTACTCGGCTGGGCTAATTAGCAGTACATCATAGCTCCACCATCGGCCATCAGAACCTGGGAGAAGTCATGGAGGAATGTTGACCTAAAGACTCTGTGCAGATAGTCTGTCATTTTGGGCTTTTGTTGTGGCACGGAGAGCTGAAGAAAGCAGCTCGTGTTACAGATGTACTCAAACTTCATTGTGGTGTTATTCATGCTAAATCTAATGTATAGACCATTTATCAGTGTGTTTATTAAACAGGACAAGAGGAACGCAGGCTTGTGTTCTTGTTTTCATTTATTATTTTTTCAGGAGTGGCACTAGCCATTTACTGAGGGTAAAGGCACTGGCATGTGCCGCTCAGGAGTGGCACTAGCCATTTACTGTTGGCCAGCATTTTGCTGGGTGGTGGGGGAGTTCATTATATTTACATGTTACTGTAAGGTGTTGTTACTAGTTCTGGTCACCAGGTGGCAGTATACGCGCTACGCGTTGTTTCTCTCTTTAGTGTTGGTGCTCAACAAGGAAAGCACAGTATTGTGTGCTTCCTTAAAGGTGAGACATGCTGACTGTGCTCTGTGATGAATCCTAGTTAACCCTTCAAAAATATCTAACATCCATCGGTGTTTTGGACAGATAACCACTGGATAACATGTTATGTTCAGTTAGTTGTCCAAATTAGTACATATTTTCATGCTATTTTTTCGTTTTTTTAAATATTGCAAGCTAAAAGAATGTGGTGTAATACTAGTTGCTAAGCTCATTTGTTTTATCAGTTTTAGTTTAATGTGACCTGTTTTACATGTAGGCTTGGGAATTTAAACTGTTTAAGCAATATATGTATTTTTTTTATTTGTAAATGAGAGCTGTGAATGCCATCGACACAACGCAGAGCCCAGCTGGGGAGCCGTATAGCAAGAAAGAAAGGGTTACATCTTTGGTGCCGTGACCCGGATTGTGGTGTGAAGATCAGCGTGGATGCATCCTTTTGCAGACAGCATCGTTTCGGATGAACTTGAATATCCTTTCTTCTTCATTTTACATAGCTCATTCATGTTATTTTGCTAAGGGTTTGGTCTGTGTTGCATTAGTATACTAATACTGTTTTGCTGCCTAAGTGCAAGTAGTTGCTCCTAAAGACATTTAAAGGTGACATGAAAATACCTGTTGGTTGAAAGTGAAGTCTAAATAATAGTGTGTAGACCAAGATTGTGAGTAATACTCTAAGTAGAAAAAAAAAAATAATATTGTTTTTAATATTTTGGCTGACAATTCACCTTCACTGTTGGTATTTTTGGCCTACTTTGAATTTGTAATTTTCCTTCTGGTTATCATTTAACATCCTTTATCTGAAATAACACTGAGATTCATCTAGACTTCTTTTTAGAGGTTTATAGTGAAGTTTAATATGCTTCTGTAGTACGTCATTCATAGACTTAGCCAAAAAAAAAACAAAAAAAAAAAACGCTCAATCAGAATAAAACAATGCAAGGTGCTCCTCAAGGAACCCCAACCCCATCAAGACTAGCTTCCACCAATGAGCCACTACCCGATACTCCCTGGTTGTCATTTGATTCAGCTAAAGTCCCCCATGGCCAAGGTCATCAGAGGATTGATCCTGTAGTAGTGGAATTAGACATAGAGGGAGATGGCGCAACAGCCTTTCCACCGTCTGTGAGATCAAAACTTGCGTTTGGACAGCTACCAAATTTCGCAAACCCTCACACTCATTCAAGACCCTAGTCAATGCCCTCGCAGTCTGTTGCTGTTCCTGTGTCCCCTCAGCCAGCTCCTCCTGATAACCACCCTGATGTAGACAACCTCCACCCTTCCCCATACACGCCTAAAAATCAGTGTCCAGCACCACCACCTGGTCTCATGAGTATGCCTGTTGTAACACAGTATGCACCTCAGTATGGTTTCACACAGACAAATCAAGTAAAAGGTGTGCAGGTGTTTAGTGGTCATGTAGACAGTAGGATTCTAACAGATGATTGGATAAGGGATATGTAGTACCTCCTAGATGCTGGTGGTCTTCCCCCTCATTTTGCCTTTGCAACTGTGGTGCGACACCTGAGTGGAGAAGCGAGGAAGCTTGTGCTGAACTTGCCAGCCCATGAGCAGACACCAACCAGAGCCTTTGAAGAACTAAGACATGAATATAGTGATACACAGACATCTGTGGACCCCCTTGCAGACTTTTATGGGCGAAGTCAGAAACCTGGCGAGTCGCCTTGCTCATATGCAATTGTTTTGGAGGCCACTCTGAGGGCAGCTGTGTGAAGCCAACCGTATGCCCTTTGGACTGCAGAACGGACCCTCTACATTTCAAAGATTGATGACATGCTGTTTTGGAGATCTAAACTTTGTGAGTGTACTCATTTATTTAGATGACATCATCTTTTCCAAAACATTTAAGGAGCACCTTGAGCGGTTGCAAGTTGTCTTCAGCAGGCTGCATGAACATGGGTTAAAGCTGAAACCTCAGAAATGCCAGCTGCTGAGGAAAGAAGTGCAGTATCTTGGTCATGTGGTGTCGGCAGATGGCATAAGTACAGACCCTGGAAAAATAAACAAGGTAAAATGCTGGCCAAAACCAACAAACCGAAAAGAACTTTAAGTTTTTGGGCTTCTCAGGGTTTTATCGGCGTTTCATCGAGGGATATGCCTCTATAGCAGCTCCCCTATACCGCCTGACATCTGGAGATCTGAGATGGAAAAAAAGAGGCATATCACCTGGCGAGGCTGTAGTTCCTTTCAAGTGGACTGTAGACTGCCAAACAGCTTTCCAAACCCTGAAGGAGAAGCTTATTACTGCTCCTGTATTAGGATACCCTGATTACAATTTACCTTTTGTACTGCAAGTTGATGCTTCAGTGGAAGGTCTGGGGGCTGTTCTAGCTCAAGTCCAGGGAGGTGCTGAGCGGGTTATAGCGTATGGGAGTAGGGGCCTCACTCCAGCTGAAACACGCTACCCTGCCCATAAATTAGAATTCCTGGCATTGAAGTGGGCGGTCACAGACAAATTTTATGATTAGCTGTATGGCAATCAGTTTACAGTACTGACAGACAACAATCCTCTAAAGTATGTCATGTCGATAGCAAAGCTTGATGCAACAGGGCAGCGCTGGGTGTCACAGGTAGCCATGTTCAATTTTGAAATCCAGTATCGGCCAGGAATAGGGAATTCTAATGCTGATGCATTATCAAGACTGTCACAGGGTGAGGTAGAGGCAGCGCTGAACATGTGCCCACAGCGAGTATTGTCAAGGCATGAGACAGTGGTTCCTGTTCGAAGTCCAGGGGCTACTGAGGGTACACCAGAGGTGGTAGAAAGCACGAAAGAGCCTGACCAAATTTTGTCAGCTTGTAATGATGTTTTTGATGGGGTTGGCACAGACGTTTTTCCAGCTATGACCAAACAGGAGGTCAGGGAGAGCCAAAGAGCTGATGCAGTGATCAGAACTGTGTTGCACTGCAAAGAGCGGGGTGTCAAGCAGGCTGGGACTGAGAGGTTGGAGAGAGGACAACGCCTCCTTTTAAAGAAGTGGAGGAGATTAGTGGTAAAAGAGGGCATTCTGTTTCGCCGAGTAAGAGCAGGCCAAGGGAAAGTGTTGGATCAGTTAGTCTTGCCAGAAAAGCTGAGGGAGATGGCCAAGACTGCTCTGCATAATGACTTTGGACATTTTGGCATTGATCGGACATTCACATTAATTAGAGAGCGATTTTATTGGCCACAGATGTTTAAGGACATTAAAGTGTGGTGTGAACAATGCAAGAGGTGCTGCCTCAGGAAAACTCCTGTTTCTGGCCTGAGGGCTCCGCTGAACAGCATCCATACCAGTGCTCCTATGGAGTTAGTCTGTATAGACTTTGACACTTGAGAAATCCAGAGGTGGTGTAGAGAATGTACTCGTCGTCACAGACCATTTCTCCTGGTTCTGCCAGTCTTACCCCACAAAGAACCAAAAGGCAAGTACTGTGGCCAAAGTGCTGTGGAAAAGCTTTTTCTGTAAATTTGGATTTCCTGTCAGATTATTGTCAGATCAGGGGAGGAACTTTGAAAGTGCAGTGGTGAAAGAGTTGTGTCAGATTGGAGGAGTGCAGAAAGTTCACACAACCCCATATCACCCACAAGGTAATGGCACCACTGAGAGATTCAACAGGACACTGATGAACATGCTTGGCACTCTGCCACCACACTTAAAGTCTCGATGGCCTGAATATGTGGATGCAATGACACATGCGTACAACTGCTCAGTCCATGACTCCACTGGTTACAGCCCATTTTTTCTGATGTTTGGGAGACATCCAAGACTGCCAGTTGATCTGATGTTTGGGCTGTTATCTACCAGTGGTGCTTGTGAGTACACAGACTGTCAGAGATCTGCGTGAGTGCTTCACTTTGGCATATGTTCAGGCGAACCACTTGTCCAGGAAGGCTAAGAAGCAACAGAAAAAATACTATGATCGAAAGACCAGAGTAAGGGATTTTCAGCCTGGGGACAGGGTTCTGGTTAAGGTGTGTCATACAGAGACCAGGCAAAAGCTGGGGGACCGCTGGGAAACTTCTCCGTACCTAGTGGTGAAAAAGCAATCTGGGACCCCAATGTACATAGTTCATTCTGAGGACGATGGACGAGAAATGGTCCTCCATGGAAATCTTCTAACCCAGTGCATGTTTCTTCCAACCATGAATGAGGAAACACCACACAGCAGTGAAACAGGAGATGGTGTAACTCAAGAAGATTTAAGTGATGTGCTAAGTAAAATGGGTGATGGTGGAGACCAAGATGAAGTTGACAGTGAGGGGGATGAAGATCAACAGTTTTTCAGGCCAGTGAATGCTGTAAACACGTCGCAAAGTGATGCTGGTGACGAGAGTTTGGCAGAGGTGGAGAAAGATGCAACTGCAGTCCCATCAGACAGTTCTGGAGACAATCCAGCGACAGGAGCTGCCATCAGTCCCCTAGCCGTGTCCCAGAGAAGGTATCCTG